ACTCAGCCTTCTTCCATCGCGTGTCCATGGACAGCTACAATGGTTTCCCAACCGCCAGGCCTTCGTGTCGCTCCTGTTCCTATGCACTGAGGATTCCTGGCCGGACAGTGAGCTCCATGGGCCCCTGCGGGGACAGGTGGCCCTCTTAACCGCTGGCCTGGCTGGTGCCCACGGGCACAGCGGCTGGCATGAAGCATCTGCTGAAAGGCCTGCCGGGCAGGTGCACACATAAGGAGGTTCGGGCATGGCCTTGTAGCGGTGATGGATGAGGCGGCCACAGCGCGGAAGGGGGAGCGTGCTTTGGGGCAGGGGCCTGTTCTGGCACTGAAGGCAGTTTTTGCAACTTACCAGCCCCAGGGCTCTGGGCGAGCCAGGTCACCGCTTCTTCTCCGGTAAATGGAGCCGGTAATAGCCACCCCCACCCTCACCCTCAGCCCGCCCTTGGGAGGGGAAGGTGATGGTCCGACCCTGGGCACCCGGAGACTCTGCGAGCTGCCCACCTCCCGCGGTTCCGGCCGGGATGGAGGAAGCGGGATGGAGGGAGCGGGATGGAGGGAGCGGCTAGAGGGAGCGGGATGGAGGGAGCGGGATGGAGGGAGCGGGATGGAGGGAGCGGGGCCGGAGGGAGCGGGGCCGGAGGGAGCGGGGCCGGAGGGAGCGGGTTGGAGGGAGCGGGATGGAGGGAGCGGGATGAGGGAGCGGGATGGAGGGAGCGGGATGGAGGGAGCGGGATGAGGGAGCGGGATGAGGGAGCGGGATGGAGGGAGCGGGATGGAGGGAGCGGGATGAGGGAGCGGGATGGAGGGAGCGGGATGGAGGGAGCGGGATGGAGGGAGCGGGATGAGGGAGCGGGATGAGGGAGCGGGATGGAGGGAGCGGGATGGAGGGAGCGGGATGGAGGGAGCGGGATGAGGGAGCGGGATGGAGGGAGCGGGATGGAGGGAGCGGGATGGAGGGAGCGGGATGGAGGGAGCGGGATGGAGGGAGCGGCAGGGAGGGAGCCGGGACCTGGCGGGCGGGAGGGCGGGACACGCCCAGCCAGCGGTGGCGGGAAGCGCCGGCCGCGGGGCCGGAACGCGGGCGCGGGTCCGGGGCGGGCGGTGCGGGGCCACCGCGGACTGGCTGTGGCGGGAAGCGCGGTGGCGGGAAGCGCGGGCGCGGGAAGCGGTGGCGGGAAGCGCGGGCGCGGGTCCGGGGCGGTGCGGGGCCGGAGCGCGGGCGCGGGTCCGGGGCGGGCGGTGCGGGGCCACCGCGGACTGGCTGTGCGGGCGGAGGCGGAGGCGGAGGCGGAGTCCGCGGGGAAAGCGAAACCGAGAGCGAGCGGCCCAGAGCCGCCGGGCTGCGCGGGGAGCGGCGGCGCCGGTGAGCGGGCGGGCGGCGCGGGGGACGGGCGGCGCGGGGGGCGCCCCGGGGCGGCGAAGGGCGCGGAGGCAGGTGCGGGGAAGCCGGTTCGCGGAGGCCGGTGCGGGGCTGCCGGTGCGGGGAAGCCGGTTCGCGGAGGCCGGTGCGGGGAGGCCGGTGCGCGGGCGGCAGGTGCGGGGAAGCCGGTTCGCGGAGGCCGGTTCGCGGAGGCCGGTGCGGGGAGGCGGGCGCCCGGAGGGGAGGTCCCAGGCGCGCAGCCGCGGCCCCGGGGGTTGGGGCCGGTGAGCGGTCCTGGCCCGGCCCCGCCTTCCCCGTGGCCCGGGCCCTGACCCCGGCCCGCAGTCGGGGTGCGGGACCCTGCGGGCTGGGCGGGGCGGGGGCGGGGGGAGCCTTAGGGAAACGCGGGGCTGCAATACCCCTGGCCCCAGGTCTCTGGGCAGTTACAGCCGTTTCCCAATTGCCCGGCCTTAGCCACCCCCTCCCCCCCCCCACCGCACCCCGCTGCGTCCCCACCCCCCACCCCACAGCCCCTCCGCCCTCCCGCACCGCCTCTGGGCGGCCCCGCCGGCTGCCGCACCGCTGCGGGGCGCCCAGGCCAGCCTCTGGCTCTCTGCGCTCTGTGTCTTCCGGAAAGTTCTCCCCCCACCCCGACCCCCACCCACACCTGCCCGGGGCCAGTGCCTCGCCTCCCCCCCCCCCAAACCTGTAAGGACTTTCTCAAACCTGTCAGGACTGCTCAGCACCCTGTAAGTGTGTGCATAGGTTCCATCCACTTAAACCATTCCGGGGTGAGTAATTACTGGGAGTGGACAGGACCGAGGCCGCACAGCACTGGTCAGGACTTGGGGTGAGTGTTGATAAGGGCACCGCGGCCAGGTGTCCGTGGTCCTCGGAGCTTTCGGGTTTTGAGAAAGGCGGTGCAGCATAAGCCTCAGTTCATTTCCGGTTTTTTTTTTGGGGGGGGTGGGGTGGGGGGAAAGGCAGTGGGATTGCAGACCAGAAGCGCTATCTGTTGAGGACCACAGGTGTGGGGGACTCTGCCGGATGCTGTTCATCTGAATTTCTCTTCGGAGCAACCGGTGAATCCGGTGCTTCCAGGCCATGACGCAGAGGTTCAGAGGTGTCTAGCCCAGATCTCGGAATTAGACCTAGATCTGAAGCCTAGCCCCACCGCACTGAGCAGTGATGGGAAGGTGTTGCCTGTGCCCAGATCTAGAAACTTCCAGCACCCTGCTTCCAGCCAGCACCCTAGCTCACCCAGACCGGCTCAGCAGCCTCTACTTGGCCTCCCAACTTCTACTCATGCTCCGCTCCCCTTTCCTTACCCAGCCCCCCATACTCTGTTCTCCACATAGCATCAAAGTGGTCACAGAAGACACAACTCCAGTCACATCACCCCTCTGCTTAGAACCCTCCCATAGCTTCCTGTTACCATGGGAACAGCGTCCACAGCCCTGACCATGGCCTACAAGGGCTGTGAGCCATGGCGCCTACCCTCCTCTCCCTCATTCCTTACCCTGATCCCTCGTTCACTGGGCAGAGTCCTCTTGGCCTTCTTGTCATCCCTCCAGAGTCTGTGCTGGTTCCTGCTCAGGGTTTCCTCCCCCATAGCTTGGTGTCTTTCTCATCATTCAGGCTTGGTTTGACGATTGCCTTTCCTGACTATTGTATCTTAAACCACCCTCCTCATATTTCTTTTTTCTTTTTTAAACACATTTTATTGATTTTTTACAGAGAGGAAGAGAGAGGGAGAGAGAGCTAGAAACATCGATGGGAGAAACATCGATCAGCTGCCTCTTGCACACCTCCTACTGGGGATGTGCCCGCAACCAAGGTACATGCCCTTGACGGGAATCGAACCCGGGACCTTTCAGTCCGCAGGCCTTACTCTCTATCCACTGAGCCAAACTGGTTTCGGCACCTTCCTCGTATGTCTGCCCCCACCCACCAATTCACCCTCTATTTCGTGCCCCTCATTAATTTCATCTCCCGGCCGGCTAGTCCCATGATCACCACTCCTGTTACTTGTTTCTGCACGCGGTCATTTTCTGTCTCCGGTCAGTGGAATGCAGGAGGGGGCTTGCTCTCTCTCTCCTTCATGCCTGTGCACTCAGTGTCAGAACAGTGCTTGACATTTGATGAGCGCTTATTGACTGAATGAAGAAAGGATGCCAGAGAACAGCTGGTGAAGAAAAGGAAGAAGATGAGGAGGTTTAAAGTGAAGTGTTTAAATTTTTTTAATATGTTTTTACTGATGTTAGAGAGAAAAAGGGAGAGAGAGAGAGGGAGAAAAACATCCATATGAAAGAGAAAGATCGTCCAACTGCCTCCTGCACATCCCCTAGGCATGTGCCCTGACCAAGAATGTGCTTAATTCCTGAGAACAGTACACTTAAAAATGGTTAAAAAGGTAAATTTCATGTTATGTGTGTTTTACCACAATGGGGAAAAAAAGGTTTTAAAAAAAATCACAGTGCTTGCAGGGCAGGGAAGGAATTTCAGTGGCTACAAGGAACTGGATCTGAGGTGCTTGCAGCAGTCCAGGAGTAAGCTGGTGGCTTGGACCAGAATAGGGCTATGATGTCACCGAGAAGTAGAAGGACGTGCTGGGTCAGGACGTTGTTGTGGATAAGAAAGGAGGGAAAGGAAATGTCAGCGATGCCTGCCAGATTCAGACGAAGTGGAGTCATTTTTTTAAAATATATATTTTTATTGATTTTTTACAGAGAGGAGGAGAGAGGGATAGAGAGTTAGAAACATCGATGAGAGAGAATCATCGATCAGCTGCCTCTTGCACACCCCCTACTGGGGATGTGCCTACAACCAAGGAACATGCCCTTGACCGGAATCGAACCTGGGACCTTTCAGTCCGCAGACTGACGCTCTATCCACTGAGCCAAACCGGTTTTGGCAGTGGCCAGATTATTATTATCTGGCCACTCACTGTATGTGTGTGTGTGTGTATCTATATATCTATATCTATATCATCTATCTCTATATATATCTATATCTATGTATATATCACCTCAACCTTTTTCTTTTAGCATTAAGAATTCTAATTGCACTTCTACAGCCTTTTTACCTTCTCAAGCAGGTAGACAAATTTGCACTTGACACTCAATGGAAGAAGAGAACAGAGTTCTCTTCCTTTTATTGGCCCGTTAAGTTTTGAAAGTAGTAAGTTTTGGAGAAATTTACTTGATTTTGCAGTCCCTGAGAGAGAATAAAGGATTTTTAAAGAAAGTTTTCTCTGGATTTATGTCTGGCTGAGATGAGTCATATATAGTAAATTCTTACCTCATTTTGCTTTCTAAACAGGATTGGGAAAATCCGATTAAAGATGTTCTGTGGGGGCCAAGACTGGTTTGGCTCAGTGGATTGAGCGTTGGCCTGCGGACTGAAAGGTCCCAGGTTCGATTCCGGTCAGGGGCATGTACCTTGGTTGCAGGCACATCCCCAGTAGGGGGTGTGCAGGAGGCAGCTGGTCGATGTTTCTCTCTCATCGATGTTTCTAGCTCTCTATCCCTCTCTCTTCCCCTCTGTGAAAAAATCAATAAAATATATATTTTTAAAAATATGTTCTGTGGGTATCACTTCTTTCAAACCTTTCTTGTATTGTAGGTCACTGGAAGAAAAAAATGGCGGACGATCTTTCAGTAGGTTTCTACATAGGAGAACTTAATAAATACTGCCAGAAGAACCGCTTAGAGGTTTACTATCGTGAAGTGTATAAGTCAGGACCTCCACATGACTTACGGTAAGAGGCTATTTAGGTATTTTATACCTATAAAATATAAACTATGGGAATGAAACTCTGGCATAATTTAGAGGTCAATACTTAAAGTTGCCACAGACTTCTGTGAGAAAGTCCTCTTGGTATGAAATTGTAACTTTGGGGGACTCTGGAGCTTTCCCAGGATTCAAGGTGACGTACTATTATGCATTTTGGAGGTCACTGCTTAACTATTGAACGAAAGTCAAAACCTTCCGAGGTAGACATCAGAGGCAGTGGCGGTTGGAATACTTGTCTCTCGATAATGCATGAGTTGTAATCATGTTTTGTGAATATTTTCCTTGTAATCAGGTTTACAATTCAAGTTGTATTAGATGGGAAAGAATATCCAGGAGCTACAGGCAAATCAAAGAAGGAAGCAAGAAATGCTGCCGCCAAGTTAACTCTTAACATGCTTAAAGAAAAACAGGTGAGTAATTGCCTCCCCCTGTTCCCCCATCCCCCTGGCCCCCCCCCCCCCCAGGGAAAAGGGACTCACAATATAGTTTATCTTTTTCTAGGTGAGAAAATATCGACATTAAAAAAAACACCCATTGGCAAGTTCCCTTATATTCACAAGTTGTTCAGTGTTTTCCCTGACTCCATTTCTGTAGAACCGGAAAGGTACACGTAGGCCCCAGCTGGTATATGTGTCCACTTTGACTCAAAGTGATAGAGTAGAAGGGAAGTATGTAAAATCTTAAGTTGTTTATTCAATGGCACATGTATAGCTTTATTAGGAAAATAAAATACAGAGTCCTGGCTGTTAGTAGTTAGAGTGTCAGCTGACCAGCAAAGGATCTAGGGTCTGATTCCAGGTCAAGGGCACATACTAGGATTCGGGTTCGGGGAGGCATGCAGGAGGCAACCCGGTGGATGTGCCTTTCTCATAAGAATGTTTTTCTTTCTCTCTTTCTCTTTCTTCTTGTCCCAACTCCCTCCCTTCCACTCACTCTGAAAAGCAATGGAAAAAATGCCCTCAGGAGAAGATTAACAACAACAAAAAAGAAAATACGGAGTTAAATCTTTGTTGTCATCCACATTAAGCAAGATTTTTTTATTCTTTGCAGGACACTAGTTCTTTATCCCTATCGACAACAGATACTTCCGATGATTTATCCAGTGAGAATTTCATAGGTCGTCTGGATAGGTATGCCCAAAAGGAAAGACTCTCGGTAAATTATGAACAAAGAAATGAATTGAGCCCAACTGGGCCCGGAAGGTGAGATGTAGTTGGGTTTTTTCCTTCTGTTTCATTGTATCTAAGTAATAGAATGAGCTTATTTCCATGTCTAATTTTCCAGAAATGTTTGCCCTTTTTGTACATTTTGCATGGAAGGTTTTATAGGACTTATAAGCAATTGGACAGCTTTGTAATTAAAATATTAAAATACTTCAATGCTGAAAGGTGGGAACCCACATAGCATAATTGATCAAATTGGGGTAATCCTTTATTTCTGAGGCCTATCTGGATGGTTTAATCTGCAGGCCCTCAAAAGAAGGTCCTGCTTGAAGGATGCAGAGATCTTTCTAGCCCTGAGGTCATAGAGGGAGTGGCTGCGTGATGAGAGAGCTGTCTGTCCCAGTACTCATCTTTCACATTTGTTTAAACGGTGTCCCTCTGAGGATAGATACCATGTATTAGGAGGAATAGTATTTCGTCCTAGACTATGAGGAGACCAGGATTTGAGAAATATGAGGAGGGCAGATTAAGAATTTCAGTTACTAAACATGTCACCCGTGAGCTAAGATTTAAGTGAGGATAAAGAATTGACTGGGCCCTAGCTGGTTGGCTTAGTCCAGCAGTGTTTCCCAAACTTTTGACACATGTGTACCCCTTCTATAATTTTCGTAACCCTGAGTATCCCTCATGAGAATGTAGAATTAGGCGCAGCTAAGCATGGTGCAGTGCATATCCCCACCAAACTCTGGTGCAACGCGTACCCCCACCAAACTCTTCCCGTACCCCTGGGGGTATGCGTACCACACTTTGGGAAACACTGGATTAGTGGATAGAGCATCAACCTGTGGACTGGAGGATCCCAGGTTCAATTCCAGTCAAGGGCAGTGCCTGGGTTGCAGGCTCAATCCCTAGTAGGGGGCGTGCAGGAGGCAGCTGATCAATGATTCTCTCTTATCATCGGTGTTTCCATGTCTCTCTTCCTCTCTGAAATAAATAAAAATATATTTTAAAAAGTAATAATTCTGGGGGGGAGAGGCAATGATAAGATATGTACACAGATAATAATTTAATTTTAAAAAAGAAAAAAAGTAATAATTCTTATATAATTGTCCAAGTATCCTGGCCTAACCACAAAAGTCCTTACATTCATAGGAGCAGGAGTGGACTTTAGTCCTGGGGGTTTTGCATTATGGGGATTTTTCTTAGGATTTTGTGCAGATAGTGGGGACAGGAAATGCTGTGGTTAGAGCAGAATCCTTGCTTTGCTCATTCCCTACAAAACAGCACAACCTCCTTATTTCTCCTGTAGAAGCCCCATTTTCTTTACCGGCTTTTTCTTCCCTATTTGAACATCTCTGGAAAATTCACCCATCATCTCTTTTCCATTTCTTCCTTCAGATGGTTTGACCTGTAAGGGAATTTAAAAACAAAAACAAAAACACCACTTAGTTCTTTATCCCTATCAACAACAGATATTTCTGATGATTTATCCAGTGAGAATGTCATAAGTCATCAGAGCTTTGAATGAAGCAATAAAAAGTTAGAAGTTGCCTGGAAAATACAAGCTGAGATGTCAGCCAATCCTGGTTATTCTGACAAAAATAGTCCGCTTATTGAAGATTTAAATTACACAAAGACGTGAAATGCAAAGCTATCTTAGTGTATTGGAAGGCCTTTATTGATGTGCGTGTGTGTTTTCAAATCATAAGTTAGATTTACTATTTTTTGGTATTTCCGTAAATAATGTCCATCCTTTATTTTTCCTAGTTTTTTTTGTAAATGCAAAATTGGACAGAAAGAATATCCTGGAGCTGTAGGTTCTACTAAAAAGAAGGCAAAACATTTGGCTGCTAAACTTGCATACGAACAGATCGAATCAGAAAGAAGGTCAATGGTACGTGCTGCCTTTGGATGTATTTCTTGTACTTTATGATTTTCTCTGGAATTGCCTTGAGGTTTGACTGTGCTTGCTTGATGTCAAGACAGCCAAGCACATAGCAAAAAGATTCCTCGATTCTGTGTGCCACCTGTGTCCCATGTATTAATCTCATAATTGTGACTGTGAATTTGATAAATGTGGAGAGATAGATGTGGCAGTTAGCACACGAGACTGAGCCACTGTGTGTATGTGTGTGGGGGGGAGTATTTAGTTATAGTTACACCCCCTCAGGGGCTCTCTTTCTTCCAGAAAGGTGATTCAGGACCCTCTGGCTCTCCCCTGGCTAGTTCCAGTGACAGTGAGATCAGCTTCTTGGCACCGTAAGTGTGTACAGACAACTGTGATATTTAAGAAATTCAAATTGCTACCTGAAAGAGCACGTTTTTATGAAAATGTTTATTGCTTAAGAAGAATTTAGGGAAATAAGTTACTTACCCACAACAATAGGAAGAATTCATAAACTAATAGTTCTTCCCTTTTCTTCTAGCAATTGTGAATCACCCGCTGAAAGTGGCTTTTCAGGAAATGGATCAGAGGAGAACAGTGACAGTTTTGCCAATTCTCTTCCATCTCCTGTGGTATAGTATTCATCTCCAAATGCCCTAGTCAGTCTGAATCCCCTTTGTGCTTCCTCATTTAAAAATGACCTTCAGCCCAATTTTTCTATTTTCATCTCCTCTGCTCTCACTAACAATACTTGGGGGTTTTGATCTTTATGAACCTACATCCTTCACATGTAGAATTCTCCCACTTGTCACACCCTTCTTTCTCTCCCTGCTAGCCTTCAGATTTTCAGATATTCCTGTGATCTTGCTTTTTATTTGATACCAACTGAACAGTAATTAAAAGATTCATTCATATAGCTCTGCCTCTGTTTTTAAAAAAATCAGAACTAAACTTAAATGAAAATGAAACAAATAAGATAGATTTTGGAGTGATGATTAGTGTTGCAAAAGTTATCCTCTTTATAAGGAACTACAAATCAATAAGGAAAAGACAACTCAGTAGAAAAATGTGCAAACAATCTGCATAGAAAATTCAGAGAAGAGTTACCCAGATGGTCAAATAACATGTGAAATGATATACAATTCAAAAAAACAGTTAGATGCTATTTTACCAAATTCATCAGGTTGGTAAAATTTGAGTCTGGCAATACTAAATGTTGACACAATTATGTTCCAATTATCCTATATAATAAAACCCTAATATGCAAGTTGACTGAACAGTAGAACATTGGTTGCTATGATATGCACTGACCACTAGGGCAGATGCTCAATGCAGAAGCTGCCCCCTGATGGTCAGTGTGCTCCCACAGGGGGAGCGCCACTCAGCCAGAAACCGGGCTCTGCTGGCGAGCACATCTGAGGAGTGGGCCTAAGCCAGTAGTCAGACATCCCCCGAGGAGTCCCAGAATGTGAGGGGGTGCAGGCCAGGCTGAGGGACGCCTTCCAGTGCACGAATGTTGTGCACCGGGCCTCTAGTAACTATTATATGCTGCTGGTGCAAGTAGAAATCAGTACAGCCATTTTGGAGAAAAATTTGACAACATATAGTAAAATTGAGGGTGTGCATGCTATAATGCCAAGGAATTCTCTTCCTAAGGATATTTCCTAGAGAAACACATGCATGTGTGCACAGTGAAACAGATATAAAAATGTTCTGTGCAACATTGGTTGTAATAGCAAGAAATTAGAAAAAAAATATTGCTCATGAGCTGAATGGCTAAATTACTCTGTAGTGCAGTACATCATGCAATACTGTGGCTGGCTGGTGATATGAGCACAAGAAATCTTAGTCTGATGTTCCCCACTTGGTATCACTATATTGAAGTTGAAAAAAAAAATCCACAAAATCAATCAGAATAATAGAGAATATTATAGCTATGCCATTAATTTTTGAGAGCTTATTGAAGACTTCTCTTTTTTGTTAACTATTGAACTTAATTTGTACTAAAAATGAAATCTCAGCATTGAGGTTTTTAACTGGTGATCAGATCAGAAACCCTTGGGGAACTATTTTAAACTAGATCTCTGGGCTCCATCTGTGTTTTGCTTAGCACTGTGACTGATGGGATGCACGCCTTCTTGCTGAGCGCTGCTGGCCAGAGGGTCAGCAGGGAAGCCATATTCTGTACCTGGAGAATCAGTGCCTCTACAGAACATGCCCTACAATGGCCATATCTGTCTGGTTACTGTGGTAGATGAGAACACTGATGTAAGCAAGTAAACTGGGTAGCAAGGTTCAATAAGAGTACAAAAATTGATGAGCTTATAGACAAACTACTGTGGTTATAGACCAGCGAGAAGTACAGGATGAGGTAAAGCAATAGGGCTCTGTCTAGGTGGCTCAATTGGTTGTATTGTCGTCCCATACACCAAAAGGTGGAGGGTTTGATTCCTGGTCAGGGCACATATCTAGGTTTTGGGTTTGATCTCCAGTTGGAACACAACCAATCAATGTTTCTCTCCTTCTCTCTCTCTCTCTCTCTCTCTCTCTCTCTCTCTCTCCCCAACCAACCAACCAAACAAACAAAAAAACATATCCTCAGATGAAAATTTAAAAAAAAAAGGATAAAGCAATAGAATTGATTTAATCATTTGAAACAATTTTTCATTTTCTTTTACAGAGTGGTCTCAAAAAAAGTTTGAAGAAGATGTAAGTATCATTATTCATTGAATTTAGTTTGAAATGAAGTTCTCTTTCAGACTTTGTCTGTCAGCCTTATTTATTAACTCCACTATTTGTAGAGTATTGTACATTCTTATTTGAGTAGGGCTTAAAAGTAGAGAGCATTGCCCTGGCCGGTATGATTCAGTTGGTTGAGTGTTGTCCCATGCACTCAAAGGTAGCTGGTTCGATTCCCAGTCAGGACACCTTCCTGGGTTGCTGGTTCAATCCTTGGTGGATGTGGGAGGCAGCTGATTGATGCTTCTCTCACATGAATGTTTCTCCCTCTCCCTCTCCCTTCCTCATTCTCTCAAATTCATAGAGACATATTTTTTAAAAGTAGAGAGCAGGATTAAAGATCACAAAAAGTTTGAATATACAAACAAATAATTTTAAATATGCAGAAAAATGTTTGTATATACACTCTACACTGTCGACATAAAGGCCTATGGCAGTGGTTGGCAAACTCATTAGTCAACAATGCCAAACATCAATAGTACGACGATTGAAATTTCTTTTGAGCACCAAAAATTTTAAACTTACACTATATAGGAAGGTACATTGTTATTAACTTAATTAGGGTACTGCTAAGTTGGCCTCTGCTAAAAACTTAAGGGGCCAAAGAGCTGCAGTTTGCTGACCACTGGCATATGGGGATCTTGCTAGAGGAATTGGTTAAGGTAAGTGGGCTTGTTGAGAGATTTTCAAGGGAAATGCATTATTTTGTAGATAAACAGGTAGAGTAGAAATGGTGTAATGACTCAGGTAAGAAATAAATAGATCAAATGCTATCAAATGTTGATTCAAAATATAAAAAATCTAGTAATAAGCTGTGGACACAGCCTACGTGCCCCTCATTAGCTGAGTGGATGAAAAAGCGGTGGTACATTTATGCAGTGGGATACCACACAGCTATAAAAAAAAAAAGAAGGAACTCTTATCTTTTGCAGCAGCATAGATGGACCTGGAGATTATTATGCTAAATGAAGTGAAGTTAAAAAAAAAAAAAAGTGCATGGCATAAAACCACTCTAAGCAAGTTACCTTTGGTTTCAATTTTATTTGAATTTTACATTCTTCTCTAATTTTTAGAAATTTGGCAGCTAAATTTGACTCTCCTGCAAATAGGCATACTTCGAATGAGAGGTAAGAAGGAACCGTAAAACAGAATTTGCTCAGAAATATGTTTGTTTGTAACACAAAAGCTTCATAAGGAACTGTTGTACACCAGGCAGGCTGCATATACTAGTATTTCCACCTGAACAGTTCAACTATTTTGGCACAGTCAGGCCCACAGCAGATCATCATATCAGAGAAGTAAAGTTTCGACAAATCTAAATGGAATGTGGTGATGTAGATCTATGTGATGCTTATGTGGGTTTCTCTGAGATCTGTGGAAGTTTTTAACATTGAAAGCAAATATTCCTATAAACCAGTGACACCCCCCCTCCCCCCCAAAAAAATGGACTCTTGCCAGAATCATAGTACCACTTGAATCGGTTTTTCATTTTCCAAGTTTTCACTTTGAAAAAGGGTGCCTCTTGTGGTAGATCATATGTTTGGGTTTAAATAAAAGAGGCCTATTTGCAACAAAAGAACATTGAAAATAAGTTTTTAAAATAATAATAAAGAGCCAAAGCTGGTTTGGCTCCGTGGATAAAGAAAGCATCAGCCTGCAGACCGAAGAGTCCCCAGTTCGATTCTGGTCAAGGGCACGTACCTTGGTTGCAGGCTTCTCCCCAGCCCCGGACCTATTCAGGGCGTGTGCAGGAGGCAACCAGTCAATGTGTTTCTTCCACACCCGTCTTTCTTTCTGTCTTTCCCTCTCTCTTCCACTCTCTTAACAATCAATGGAAAAATATCCTCCGGTGAGGATTGTTAAAATATTTAAAAACTTACAAAGTAAGTTCAATACTAAAATAAAACCCAATAAAGAATCCACATCTATCAAATAACTGCCTGATATATAGCTGGCACTGTGCTGGGCATTGGCATTGGCTCTGCAGTAGGAACAGACAGAACAGCTCTTGCCCGCATTGAGTTTTGTGGGGTTGAAAATTACCTGAATTAATGCATAGACCACAAACTATGGTTAGGGGCCTGAAAGATGAGGCAGCACAGGGAGGTGGAGGCTCACAGACTGCGTGGGAAGATGAAGAAGGGACAGGTGAGGGTTCAAGGAGCAGAGAGGAGGTTGTGTGCTTGGCATGCAGTGGAACGGGCCCCGTGCCAGGGGACATGCTGGGGAGGAGGCAGAGGCCCAATCACAAGGCCGCATGGAGGCCATTTAAGGGTGTTTTCTGTGTTTTTCTTTTTTCTTTTTTTTCTTTTTTCTGAACACAAAGCTAGGCTGTTGGCTGTCAGGCGACAGAGAGACATGATCGCGCTGGTTGCCGTGTGGATTGCGATTGAAGGGGAGGAAGAGAGAGAGTGGAGAGCCCGGATGGCCAGGTCCTGCAGGAGCCTGGTGGAAGCTGGGCCTGGGGTGAAGATGTCAGACGGGAAAAGTGGGCCGATGCCGGGGATACGTGTTGGAAGCAGAATGGGCAGGTCTTCGTGATGGAGTGAGGGGTCTACAGGCCTGGTCTGGCCCCGAGCACCTGCTCATTTCTCTGATAACAGCTTGGTGGTAGCGGTGGGACACACGTGACGCTTTTTCCTCAAGTTGTATGCTTGTGAGAAGATTCTTCCTCGTGGCTGTTGTACAGCCAGGAGTGGGCTGCGGCTCGCAGGGATGATCTGTTGTGTTGAGAGGAGGCGGGGGAGGAACGATCCTTTGTGACTTGAGTTTCTGTGGGAAGCGGGCCCTTCTTATTCAGAAGTGAGGAGGCAAGTTCATTATAGAGTCCATGTCATCAGTGACCTGAAGGGGAAGGGGAAGGGATCGGGGCCAGCTAGCGTTGGATCTTAGACTAACAGTGGCATTTATTCTTTAAGGTTTATCCAGGATTTTGAAGAAATAAAACTAATTGGCTCTGGTGGATATGGCATGGTTTTCACAGCAAAACACAGACTTGATAAGACGATCTATGCTATTAAACGTGTTAAATACAATGATGACGACCATGAGGACGAGTAAGTAGTAAATGTTTTGTTTCATTTTTTTTAAAATAAGAAGATACGTTGAATGGTACTGTTCTTTTTTATGTATCTGTCTCCTTCATAAGTATATTATTTACTTTTCCCCAGCCCTCCTTAAAAACGTTACTCTAGCCTGGCCTGCTCTGTTCAGGCCACAATTCTTTTAAGGCTGCCTTGATGAGAACTGAAGTTATAGAATAATTTAGCTCAAGGTGACCTTTGAGATTCTCTAGTTTCGTCTCCTGACTTGTTTCTTGAAGTCATTACTCCGTCTAAGTTGGCCAGCCTGCTCCTTCAGAGACAAAGAAGGGGGTGGAAACAGAATATGGAGAGTGGCCTGAGCAAAGGAGAAGCAGGCAGAGTCCGGTCAAACCTACTTCCTGTCCAGGGACAGTAGTACCTTGGCATTGGAACACCTTTATGCCTTCTTGGCATCAAAACAAGGCTTTTTTTTTTTTTGCCGAAACCGGTTTGGCTCAGTGGATAGAGCGTCAGCCTGCAGACTGAAGAGTCTTGGGTTCGATTCCGGTCAAGGGCATGTACCTTGGTTGCAGGCACATCCCCAGTAGGGGGTGTGCAGGAGGCAGCTGATCAATGATTCTCTCTCATTGATGTTTCTGATTCTCTGTCCCTCTCCCTTCCTCTCTGTGAAAAATCAATAAAATATATTTAAAACAAAACAAACAAACAAAAAAAAACAAGGCTTTTTCCTTCTTCACTGTTCTGCTTAAGAAGAATGAAATATTGTTCCTTCTCTTCAGTAGCAATTTTTTAGTGGAAATACTTAATGATGATCATGGTGCAGTATTAGGGGAGAATATCCTGTTTCCCTGAAAATAAGACAGTGTCTTATATTAATTTTTTCTCCCAAAGTTGTGCTAGGTCTTATTTTCAGGAGATGTCTTATCTTTCCATGCGCTAGGTCTTATTTTCGGAGGATGTCTTGTTTTCGGGGAAACACGGTAGTAATGGCTTCATAAATTGGTAGAATACAGTTAAAATATACTTGAAAATAATAATCCAGAACCATAATAATGTTTATACACTTTGATTTATGGCTTTTCTGTCTAGGAACCTAGCCTAAGGATATTGCCCAAATTAAGGGAAAAATAACTATGTAAGAAGACATAACCACAGTATTGTTTATAAAAATGAAGAATTAGAAAAAAACAAAATATCTAACACTAAAGGAATTATTAAGGATGTTTTGTTTTCTCTCCCTTGATCAGTGGCTATTTTACAGTCATTAAAAATTAGGATTATATGCTGAAAATATTTATACATGAAATCATACGATACTGAAAGTAGCTTCAGAATAACATGGGGGAAGATGAGGAAGTAGGTAAGAGCACATATGAAATTAACAACTGTTTCATCTGGGTAATGGCTAGGTAGGGGTTCAATTCTGGTCAAGGGCACATACTTGGTTGCAGGCTCAATCCTTGGTCCTGGTTGGGGCCTTGTGGGAGACAACTAATTAATGCGTCTCTCTCACATCAGTGTTTCTCTTTTTGTCTCTTAACATCCCTTCCACTCCCTCTAAAAATCAATAGAAAAGGATCTTCAGGTGAGAATTAACTAAAATTAAAAATTAAAAAGTTTACACATGCTAGTTATGCAGACTGTAAAAAATAAGGAAAATTATAAAGATAACATGTGAAAATAGAATAAATATTATCTATACTAATAAAAGGGTAATATGTTAATTAGACAGGATAAACCAGATGTCCTTCTGGACAAAGCCATGGTGGCGGGGGCCGAGGCAGAGGCAGTTAGGGACAATCAGGCCGGAAGGGGAGAGCGGTTAGGGACGATCAGGCCAATAGGGCAGAGTGATTAGGGGCAATTTGGCCAGCAGGGAAGCAGTTAGGGGCATCAGGCAGGCAGACAGAGGTGATTAGGGGTGATCAGAAAGGCAGGCAGGCAGAGTAGTTAGGGGTGATCAGGCAGGCAGGCAGGTGAGCATTTAGGAGCCAGCAGGCCCAGATTGCGAGAGGAATGTCTGACATCCCCTGAGGAATCCTGGATTGGAGAGGGTGCAGGCGGGGCTGAGGGATCCCCTGTCCCGTGCATGAATTTTGTGCACCTGGCCTCTAGTCTTTAATAATAAAAGTGTAATATGCTTCTGGACGACCTTCTGGACGAAGCTGGGGCTGTAGCCACAGGAACCAGGCAGCTGCGGTGGCTGCGAGGGAGAGATCCAGGCAGCTACCGTGTCTGCGAAGGCCTACTCTTGCACGAATTTCGTGCACCGAGCCTCTCGTACACTATAATTACAAATACTTAAACATATAAAGGCAAACGATAAATAACTCCAAGTAACAACTGATTGTGTTAGGATTGTCAATAATGAGTAATTTTTCTTCATTTTTTTTTTTTTTTTTACAAATTGTATGTCTTATAAATAATTTTACAAAATAAAGGCTGAAATTGCACAGTGTCTGCTTATCCTTTCTCATGCTTGAGATTTCAGATTGATTCATTCCATTGAGCATAGGATTGTGTTGACTGCTAACAGCACATCCCTGTAAAGTGTGTGTCCCCCCCCCCCCCCCCCCCCACCACCACCACCACCTACCCAGAGCAAAGTCTCCATTTCACTGCCCGGATCCTCTCCTTCGTGTTTCTTTGCCACACACCGGAAGTTCAGAATTAGGCTCTTCAAACTGCCTGGGTTACCCACCCAGGCTGCCCACATGGCATTTGTTTTTTTAACTCCAAGGACGTCAGCACAAGTCTAAATAAGACAAAAATGTATGAATTAGCTACCATAATTACATCATTGGGATTTCAGAGGCTACTGCCAATGGTTTGTACGTTGTCTGATGTTTGGAATGATTGGTCACCTGCGTCGAGAGTGAAAACAGCTCTGTGTTTTTCTGTATGTTCACTTTTTCCTTTTCGGGGCTCCTGGCCTTCATTCTAAAACTCTGGGTGTGGGAACCATGGCAACTGTTAAAAAAAAAAGGAGGTATTGTGGTATTGTTATCAGGGATGCCTACTGACCCCTTCTATTCCTTGTTTCATTTGACTAGGAAGGTAAAGCGTGAAGTAAAAGCCTTGGCAACGCTTCATCATCCAAATATTGTTCGCTACTATAACAGTTGGAATGGAGACGATTACGTCAAAAGGTAACTGAAAAAGAAATTCTCATCGATGCAGTAAGATGGAGGAAACTGTCATTGGCTATATGTGGGCCATTAATACATTTAATAATCACAACAGGGGTGAGGAAGGATAAGCAGATACTATTTGAGACACTTATATCTCCATTCTGCAGGTAAGGAGACAAAGAATAATCTTTACCTTCCTCCTCTCCTTGCTCTAAACTTGCTTTCAAGCCATTTGAAAACTTGCTCTAAACTTGCTTTCAAGCCTGTCCTCAGCTGTTAGCAGAACTGCTCAGGGTTAGCTTTCCTGACTTCGTTGTTTCATAGATGGACTTGTGCACGACTTCAGTCGAGGCTGGAGAGGCAGGCTTGCAGAAGACGTTTGAACAAGTAGATGCTGCAACTGGAGTGTCCCTCCTCAGCTGCCAGGACTTTTCTTCCCCTCTCTCAGGCCCCCAGATGCAATCAAAAGAGTCTCTTTCAAGTGCCACAACACCACTTCCGGTGGGGTGGAGAGCAGTGGAAATAACTTTAATACTGCAAGCTTAAGATGACAGGGGCACCTCACCTTGCATACTCTTCCTGTTTTGTCTAAAGTAAACCACTGCCAAAGGGTTATGATACCTTATTTTCCGGCGTATAAGACGACCCCCTAATTTTACAGTTAAAACATAGGTGTAGGCCTGTATTCACTGTATAAGACTACCCCCCACTTCAAAGAAAAGACTTACTTTGCCGTCAAGATCTGCAGGTAATTTTTGTGCAGTTTTGGTCTTTTGCCCCCGATTTCAGTTGACTTTTTTTCGTTTCAAACGTCGTCTTATATGCCGGAAAATACGGTACTTTAAACAATAAAATAAAATAAACAATTTTACTTTATTGTTTAAAGTATTACAACTAGTAATACATATATCTCCTTTGTTTTCTCCCATTGACTTCCCCCAGCCTCCCCTACCCCTGTCGCGTGCCCTCACAAGACCCTGGGGTGGGGGTGGGGATGAGGGCATGCGACACCCAGTGTTCCTTGTGGATGATTCTCTCACTGCAGTCCTGAGGCCAAGGTGGGCTTGTCCATTCATCGTCTCCTGCCACCAGCTCAGTCCATGAATCATCAGTTTCAGGAGTTCTTGACTGGTAGCGCTTGGCACGTGAGCCTTTAGCAAATTCTTAGCGACCTCTTTCTATGTTCTAGCCAACGAATGTTCAAAGAATATAAGTTAATATTGAGGCCCACGTGTTTCTGAAAAGGGAAACATGGTCAGCGGGGTCAGTCCTCCCAGTTATATCTCATTGCAGTTTGTCGGCACTTCTGCCAGAGTACCTCTCCTTGTGCTGCTGTTTTATGTTTGTCTTTCCTTCACCTCTCTCCTGTTCAGCTGCCATCCCCACGGCAGCAAGGACATTGCCTAACTCATTCCCTCATCTCTAGGTGCCTGTCCACAAGATGATGCTCAGTATATTGATGGTGAATTAAAATGTTTAAAAAATTACTTTATATAGTAATAAGATTTGGTTTTCTGCAATTCCATTGTATTGATGCTCCCTTTGCTGTCTTTCAGCGTTAAAGAATGGACAGGCTTAGACTTTATAAGTTAGCTAAACAAATAACACCCTGTACATCTGGGAACTTAGGTTTACATCGTGATTCAAATTTATTTATTTAGATTTCTGCTTTGAGAAATGGTTTGTGCTCAGTTAGCTGGAGCATCATCCCGTACCCCGAAAGATTGCTGGTTCGATCTCAAGTCAGGGCACATACCCAGGGTGGGTTCAATCCTTGGTACATATGGTCAATGTTTCTCTCTCACATTGATGTCTCTCTCTCTCTCTCTCTCTCTCTCTCTCTCTCTCTCTCAAATCAATAAGAATATATCCTCAGGTGAGGATAAAAAAGAAGAGAAGGTATAATTTTAAGAAGGAAATGTATTTTTTATAAACTTATTTTTATTGTTACTTCTCTTTGAATTTTATATCCAGATCATTGATGAAGTGCCTTTTCATCCAAATGGAATTCTGTGATAAGGGGACATTGGAAACCTGGATCGAGAAAAGAAGAGGGAAGAATCCAAACAAAGATTTGCCACTGGAATTATTTAAGCAAATAGTAACAGGAGTGGATTATATACATTCAGAAGGGTTAATTCATAGAGATCTTAAGGTATGTGGAAAACTGATCAATGTAACGTAATAATTTAAAAACCCATCTCTTCAAATTTTAGAATCGGTTGACAGTCATGAAGGAATACCTCTGGTCCTCTCACGTGCGAATGGATCTAGCACCTGTCACACGTTTCATTCCCGAGATCCCCTCGGACGATCTCCAGGGCTAGTGAGCTTGTCACCACTCACCCCTGGTGCTGTCTGGCTGGTAGCCACTCCAGTTGCAAACACTAGGAGCTTTATCATGCTGAACGTCCCGTGCATATAATGATTGTGGCTGGCACTGCCCGCTGGCTGCTCTGTCTCTGCGCCTCCTGCTCCTCGGACTTGTCTGAGAGGCAGAAAGACTCTGGTAACCTGGCTTTGGGAACATGGGTTCTCCTCTCTCTCGGCCTTTCCTCTGAGGGCAGTCCCAGCTGCCAGGTCTGGAGTCTAGAATTTCCTTGGCATTTGGACACCGCTGCCCCATGATGGAAAATTGCAATAATTCAAACCTTGGAACCTGTCGCAAACGTTTGCATTTTTATTTTATTTCCCCCTCTCCCCCTGTCTTTCTGGCATCCTACGTGGTCTAGAAGAGCAGTTTTCCCATTTTTCCATCTCATCACAATGAGCGAAGAGAGAACAGCTTTTCGGTCTCTCCTCATCCTCTGTGCCCTAGGAGGTGCCCACTCTCATCCCAGACTCGTCATGCGGAATCCTGCTGTCGCCCCTTTGCTCACCTCTTGCACAGGATTCTCTTCTGCCTGTCCCCTGCCTCTCCCCGAGTCTCATGCCGCCCCCGCACAGCAAACAAATATTCTTGTGCGCAGCTCTGCAAGCAAGCCACCCGCACTTTCCGACCCGATGGCAGACACCTCTCCCCAGAAACTGGGTTTCAGAGAGATGGGCAGCTTGTCTCTCTTCGGGTTAAAGAAAGCAACGCCCTCTGCCACCAGCCCGTATTGCGTCCGTGCCCCCTCGCTCAGTTTTTCACCACCTGTGCCCTGAATTCTCTTCTTTCTCTTTCAGTCTAGTTGTAGGGCTTCCTTTCAGCCAGCTTTCCCCTGGGTTTTGGGTGATAGACGTTTTGCTTTTTAGTCGTATTTTTTAAATTGTTGTGACGGCAGCAGATCAGGTGTGTTTACCTACGCCTCCACCATCCATTTTATTCTTGGTGCCAGGTTCCAATCTCACTGTTCCTTGTTCCAATCCAACTGCTATTTCCCAGCGGGCTTCTTGGAAGCTCCTCTTTCAGCTGCCCTAGGCTGATGTCTCTTCCCTCTCAGTGCCTTTACTAGGCCCTCTCATACGTGTTAGCTCATGAGATCTGTGTGTGTATACACAGCCCATTATTGTATTGAAAGTCTAGCCTTTTCAACAACGGCAAAATATTAATTTCCTCTTCAGTAACGGTCTCTCTTCATGGTCTTTAGAATGTTGGTCAGTACCTTCTATAAATTTATGGAATAGGGTGAACACCCCTCCCCTATCTGCTCAAAGAGTCACATGGAAAAAAAATACATCAGTGCTAGTTATCAGCTTCTGGTTAACTTGGTATGCCTTCAAGGATAGAGGGGGAATGCTTTTGAAGAAGGTGCCAGAAGCCTAGAGAAATTGACACAGAAGAAGCCTCCATGAGAAGTTATGCAAAGGATATCTTGCAGCATTACTGGGCAGAGACCCAGTCTGAGAATCTCAAAGTTGGAAGGAACCTTAAGAGCACTTACTTTGATCCCCATAGAATCCTGGTCTTGTATTTGCAACATTTCCACCAAGGGGATGTCCAGTTCTGACCTGAATACTTCCTGGGATAGGGAACTCTTGGACTCACATTCTTTGAACCCACTGAGTATATTAGGTTTCACTATTAGTATATTTAGGTTACACCAAAGCAAATCTTTTTTGGTTGTTTCCACCCAATAGCCCTGGATTTATTCGTGGGGCCATGCAGTGAATCCGTCTTCCACCTAACAGGTCTGCAGATATTTGAAGGCAGCTCTGCCCCAAGCCTGCTTTGCTGACAGAGAAACCCCAACTTCCTCAGCTGGCATTTTAAAGATCCGTGATATTCAATTTTCTCTTTTGGGCTACCTGTGTAAATTTAAATGCCTTACACAAGGGCAGGCACAAGGAGGTGTACAGTTGTGAGTACACAAAACAGTGTTTATTCTTGTACTATTACTTCATAACTAGAGGCCCAGTGCACAGATTTGTGCATGGGTGTGGTTCTTAGGCCTGGCCAGTGATCAGAGCCAATTGGGGCCAGCTCACCCAGTCTCGGGGGAGGGAACATGGGAGGTTGGCCTGCTGCAGGAGGTTGGCTGTGGGAGCACATTGACCACCAGGGGGCAGCTCTTGCATTGAGCATCTTCCCCCGGTGGTCAGTGTGCATCATAGCAACCGGTCAACAGGTCATTCAGTCGACGAGTCCTAATGGTTGCTTAGGCTTTTATATATATAGATTATGGTATTATTTTCCACGTGAACAATCGTAACCCTACTTTTGCCCACCCCTGTAAGTAAATCTAAAAAATAGCCATTGCTAAATATGATTTGGATATGTGATGCCACTTGGTCAAAGTGGTACTTACGAATTAAATGTTGTTTTTTATTTTACTGTAGCCAGGCAACATATTTTTAGTAGATACACAACAAATAAAGATTGGAGACTTTGGACTTGTAACATTCCAGGAATATGATAAAAAGCGGACAAAAGAGAAGGGAACTCAATACTACATGAGCCCAGAACAGGTGTGGTCCCTTCCCTTTCTGTCTCTATGTTCTAATTAGCATATTATATAGGATGCTTTAGTCAAATTATTATTATTATTATTATTATTATTTTACTTGAGAAGGCACAGATGTTTTTATCAGGTGAATAACAAATGTAAATATATTTTGTTCTCTTTAGCTCACTTCAGTACACTATGGAAATGAAGTGGACATCTTTGCCTTAGGGCTAATTCTCTCAGAGCTGCTTTATATAACTGTGAGTCGTTGGGAAACACTTGAGGTAAATAATCCCACTGAAATAATTTGTTTGTTTATTTATTTGGTATGTTTTTAATTGCTTTTAGAGAGAAAGGGAGAGCTAGAAACATCAATGTGAAAGGAACACCGATCAACTGCCTCCTGCACACCCCCTTATGGGGGATTAAGCCCACAACCCAGGCATGTGTCCTGACCTGGAATCAAACCGATGGCCTCTTGGTACATGGGTTGGCACTCAATCCACTGAGCCACACCAGCTGGGCTCACAGAAAGAATTTAGCAACAAAAATTATTGGCCATCGCCCTGGCTGGTGTTCCTCAGTAGTTAGAGCATTAACCTGTGCACCGGAGGGTTGTGGGTTCAATTCCCAGTCCAGGGCATGAACCTGTGTTGCAGGTTTGATCCCCAACCCCCATCAGGACACATGCATGAGACAGCCAATCGATGTGTCTCTCTCATGTCGATGTGTGTGTGTGTGTGTGTGTCTTTGTCCTCTGTCTCTCTTCCCCTCCCTCCCTCTTTTTCATTGTCACTGAAAAGCAATGGAAAAAATATCCTGGGGTGAGGATTAAAAAAAAAAAAATTATTGGCCATCATCTTCAAAGTGCTGCTGTAGACAGTTTATTGCCTCATGTAATGATGGGCCTGAGCAAACTATGCTTTTTCTCTCCATCTTTGGGCAACTAAAACTTTTTGTTGGAAGTTCTGGTCAAGAGGGTGGAATAGGTAGACATGCTCCCCTCCTCCCATCACTACATCAAAATTACAACTAAATTACAGGACCACCACCCCTGAGGACTAGCTGAACAAAACGTCTCTGACTAAAGATACCAAGGAAAAGCTGTGTTGAGACTGAATATTGAATGCCATATGTGATTGAAAAATTAAAATAAAGAAACAAGACAAAACAAAAACACCCTTTTTGTTAAAGGCTAAAAACTTTGGTGTGTAAGCGTGTGTGTGTGTGTGTGTGTGTGTGTGTGTGTGTGTGTGTTTAAAGGTATATGCATTTCATTAAACCATAGCTCTTTATTCCTCTTTGAATCAGTCAGTAAAATTTTGAATGCTTGGCATAAGACACTGTGCTACGAAGATTGTAAAAACGAATAAGCCTTGTTCTCGGGAAGCGACTGCAAGAGAGGGCTGTGCATGTTTTGGGAGAAGGCATGGAGCCTTTGGGAAGCAGCCCAGAAGGGGACTGAGAGTTATGGAGGCATGGAAGCTGAGCTCTGAAGGGTTGGTCTGACTTCCGATAGTACAGTATAGAAAGCAGGTGATTCCAGCGTGGAGACAGGAGTGTGCAGGGTGTGTGTGGGTCATCAGGCAGAGTCTGATAATTTTTATTGGGGTCGGTAAGGTACAAGGAAGTGGGGGTTGATGGGGTTGGAAATACATGCTGGGGCTTCTTGAAGGCAAGAATGTGGCCTTTGCTGGGAAGGCAGTGGGGAGCCACTCCATGCGCCATCTATCCTAGGCCTTAGCTCAGGAAAAGGGACGCACATGGAGTCCACAGCCTTCTCCTCTGTAAAACAGGGAACGAAACAACTACCTGTCGCACAGGGTTCCAAAGGGATGAAGGGAGATGAGGCATGTGATGCTCTTCGCACCGCAACATGTGGTGGTGTCCAAGGGGCCTATTGGATGCGGCGGGGTGGGGGCGGGGAGTCCTGCTTGCTTCCTGGCGGGAGAGACTTTCCAGAGATCTGGAAATGCCTCCGATGGAGGGCATCTCCGGGCTTCAGTGCTTCCTGAGTTTGTTTTTCCTACCAAGTGAGACATTTAAAAAAATATATATATTGTTATTGATTTTTCACAGAGAGGAAGGAAGAGGGATAGACAGTTAGAAACATCAATGAGTGATAGACATCAATCAGCTGCCTCTTGCAAAACCCCCTAATAGGGATGTGCCCGCAACCAAGGTACATGCCCTTGACCGGAATAGAACCCGGGACCCTTCAGTCCACAGGCCGACGCTCTATCCACTGAGCCAAACCGGCTTTGTTAAGTGAGACATTTCCTAACGAAGATACCTATGTCTTATTTTCAGATTTTCCAAGCTCTAAGGAAGGGCCAGGCCCCGGATGTATTTGATGACAAAGAAGTAAGCACTTGAAAGTAATCAGAATTTTTTTTTTCAATGGTTTGGTTTTTTCCCCCCCACAATGTGTCTTTCTATCATTACAGAAAGCTCTCCTACAGAAATTAGTTGCAGTGGACCCCAAGATGCGACCTAAAACATCTGAAATACTGAAGACTTTGAAGGAGTGGAATGATGTGCCAAAGAAAAATATGCGAAACACGTATTAGTGCCTTTCTAAAAAACCTGTAGCCTGCTTCTGATGTTCCATTTTCCTGTAATTGTCTAAAATCTGCTAGGGAATGTGGATGATATTTACCTATTTTCATTTTTCCCTTAATTTTAAAAATACATTTGCAGAAAGGTTTACATCTTTTTTAAAAATTTGATTTTTAGAGCCCAACCAGTGTTGTTCAGGAGTTGAGCATTGACCTATGAACCAGGAGGTCACAGTTCCTTTCTAGGTCTGGGCACATGTCCAGGATGTGGGCTCAGTCCCCAGTGGGGGCATGCAAGAGGCAGCCAATTAATGATATTCCCCCCCCCCTGTCTCTCTCTCTCTCTTTCTTTTTCCCTCCCTCCCTCTCCGAAACTAATAAAAATATATTTTAAAAGAAGGCAAATGCTCAGCAAAAACCTTCATCCTTATAAAAAATGATTTTTAGAAGAAAGGAGACAGAGAGAGAGAGAGAGAGAGAGAGAGAGAGAGAGAGAGAGAGAGAGAGAGAGAAAGAGAAAAACATTGATCAGTTGCCTCCCGCATGTGCCCCGACCAGGGGATTGAACCCTCATCCTGGGTATGTACCCTGACTGGGAATCAAACCTGCTACCTTTTGGTGTATGGGACAGTGCTCCAACCAACTGAGCCATACTGGCCAGGGTTATACATTTTAACTTCAAAAGCATTTTTGCAGTTTGACTTTCCCTAGCTCCTTATTATGAAGGCTGGGGGGGGAAAATCTCTCAATTTTTATATCAATGAATGAATGAATTAATATTTTTAAATGTCTATTTCTAGCCAAAAAAAAAAAAAAAAAAAAAAAAAAAAAAAGCTCTTTCACTGTTTTTTAAAAAATATATTTTATTGATTTTTTTTTTTTTTTACAGAGAGGAAGGAAGAAGGATAGAGAGCTAGAAACATCAATGAGAGAGAGTCATCGACCAGCTGCCTCTTGCACACCCCCTAGTGGGGATATGCCCACAACCAGGGTACGTGCCCTTGACGGGAATCGAACCTGGGACCTTTCAGTCTGCAGGCCGGCACTCTATCCACTGAGCCAAACCGGTTTTGGCCCTATTTTATTTTATTTTAAAAAAATATTTTATTTATTTTCTTACGGAGTGGAATGGAGAGGGATAGAGAGTTAGAAACATCGATGAGAGAGAATCATTGATCAGCTGCCTCCTGTACACTCCCTAATGGGGATGTGCCCACAACCAAGATACATGCCCTTGACCGCAATTGAACCCAGGACCTTTCAGTCCACAAGCCAACGCTCTATCTTCTGAGCCAAACCGGTTAGGGCTCTTGCCCTATTTTAAATAGTTAAGCCAGTTGGAGAAAAATTGTAACCATAAAAAGATAGATTATATGCAATCACTTTGGAATATCTTGTAATAAAGATAAATGTCTATATACCAGAAAGCCATCAATTCCATTCCTACATACATGCCTACAAGAATGTTCATAGAAATCTTGTTTATAAAAGTCAAAGGAACAGAAAACAGCACTGCTGTCCATCAAGAGAAAAATGGATACACACATTGTATTATATTTGCGTTGGAATACTACAGAGCAGTGAAAATGAACAAATGACAGCTAAATGGAATAACATGATACACCTCTCAGGAACAATGTAAGCCACAAAGCACATTACAGAAAAGGTACGCAGAATGATTCCATTTACATAAAATTCCAGAACATGCTAAACGATACCATTTGTGTAGGAATCTAAACAAATGTAAACAATAACAAAGGGAAGGAAATGTTGAGAAATATTAAATCTGATAATGGTTATCTCTGGGCAGGGATGGTACTAATGTGACTGGTGAAGTGAATTTCAAAGGTACTGCTAACTTCTTTTTTCCTTAAACTGGATGTTGAGTTCACTAGTGTTTACAATTACTTACCTTAAGTACATTTTGTATCTATTCTAACAAACATTTTAAAGCAACGGTTGGAAACCAGTGGTCCATGGACCACTGGTGACCCATGAGGTCTGAAAGGTTGGCGACTGCTCTTTAAAGAGATGATAACTCTGCTGTAAGGCAATAGCTAAGCGTAGAAAATAGTTAACCTGCACAGGGCTTACAAGTAATACTTCAGCTGGGAGTTTGGATGAGGAGAGAGACCAAATGGGCAGTCTGGGCAAGGGGCTTGGCATATAGATGACATGGAATAATAATGCATTTTCTTTAAAAAAAATATTTTTATTGATTTCAGTGAGAAAGGGAGAGGGTGAGAGAGAAACATCAGTGATGAGAGAAAATCATTGATTGGCTGTCTCCTGCACACCCCACACTGGGGACTGAGCCTGCAACTTGGGCATGTGCCCTGACCAGAAATCCAACCGTGAATTCCTGGTTCATGGGTCGATGCTTAACCATTGAGCCACGCCGGACGGGCAGTATTCATTTTCTTAGGTGTGCTAACGATATTATGGTCATGCAGGAAAATGTCCCATTCTTAGTCAATGCATGAAGGAGTATCTAGGGGTGAAGTGCCATGAAGTTTGCAACTTTCAAATGTTTAGCAAAAATAAATGTGTATATGATGAGAGAGAAAGAAAGCAAATGTTAACAGTTGACCTATGATAAATCTAGGTTGAGGGTATAGAAGTATTTTTTGTCATATTCTTTGAACTTTTCTGCAGTTTTGAAATATTTCTGGGAGGGGAGAAATCTTTTTTAAAAAACAGTATTATCTGGATATAATGAGTAAGGTTGTACTCAAAGGAAGGCAGCCTTATGTTTACTTTCTCATTTTAATATTTGTTATCTCTTGGAAGTTTTTATTTGTAAATATATATTTTCTCAGCCTCAAAATTATAATGTATAAAATGTATCCTCTTAATCAGAGGAGGAGAGGGGCAAAGTCCAGAGACCTTATTTTCAAATTATAAAGCACACTTGGAAATTTTGAAAGATATATTTGTATATATATATATATATATATATAGATAGATAGATAGATAGATAGATATAGATATATAATGCATTCACCCTTTTAAAAAATTTCTTTTATTGGAGTATTTTAAAACAAATTTAAGGAATTATATCATCTCACTTGTAGATACTTAAAATGATCTTTATCTCTAAGAGATAAGATCTTTTTAACATTAACAAAACTGCAATATCATTGTCACTCAACAAAATTAATAAGATGTTTTTAATTACTACTATATCATAATTCAGCATGCAGTTTTCCTGTCTCAAAAATATCTTTCTACAGGTTTTTTCGATCAGAATTCAACATTGCATTTAGTTGATGTCTCTTTTACTCGCTAACATTGACCCTTGTTTTTATTTTTTTTTTTTAATTTTATTTTTTAAAATATATTTTTATTGATTTTTCACAGAGAGGAAGAGAGAGGGATAGAGAGCTAGAAACGTCGATGAGAGAGAATCATCGACCAGCTGCCTCTTGCACACCCCCTACTGGGGATGTGCCCGTAACCAAGGTACATGTCCTTGACCGGAATCGAACCCGGGACCTTTCAGTCCACAGACCGACGCTCTACCACTGAGCCAAACCGGTGCCAGCTGACCCTTGTTTTTAGTTTCTTTCTTCTTGCCATTTATTTGAGGAATATTTATTATAGAATTTACTCCATTCCGGATGTGGCTGATGATATCCCCTGGTGTCTAGTTACTTCTAGAAACTTGATTTGATTCTGATTCGAAGCTTTTCCCTCGGGAAACACTGCAGAGGTGATAGTGTATCCTCTGGCTACCATGTCTGGTGGTTCCACTTTGGGAGATTTTTCAGATTGATCAGTGGCTCGTGGTGCTGTTATCCATCACAAGGCTTCCTTTCAATCTTTCTCCTAATGGTTTTAGCAACCATTGATGAATGGTGTCTGGACCCATTAATTCATTAGGGGTTAGTGAATTTTTGGATTCTATCAAACCTCTTGCATTTGTCATCTATGATTCTTCTATAACGAAGTTTCTCTAAGGCTAAATGGGAAAGATGGGCTATTTAACATTATTTTGTCAGCCTCCAAAGAAACCCCATGTCCATTAGTCATTCCTCATCCACCCCCCCCCAGAATTCTAAGTAATCACTGAGCTACTAGAATCTTCTATCTCCATGGATTTCCCCATTCTGGACATTGCGTTTAAATGGAATCATACAATACGTGGTCTTCCTCGCTTCGTGTACTGTTTTTAAGGTTTACTCAGGTTGGTTCTTTTTGTTGGATCCTTCATTTTATTTACTCGTTAATGGATGGACATTTGGGTTGTTTCCATTTTCCTGCTAGTATGAAGAAGGCTACTGTGGCCGAAACCGGTTTGGCTCAATGGATAGAGCGTCGACTTGGGGACTGAAGGGTCCCAGGTTCGATTCCAGTCAAGGGCATGTACTTTGGTTGCGGGCATATCCCCAGTAGGGGGTGTGCAAGAGGCAGCTGATCGATGACTCACTCTCATCGATGTTTCTAACTCTGTCTCTCTCCCTTCCTCTCTGTACAAAATCAATAAAATATATTTAAAAAAAAAAAAAAAAGAAGAAGAAGGCTACTGTGAATGTTCATGCTCAGGTTTTGTGTGGATATGTTCTCTTGGGCATGTACCTAAGAGTGGAACTGCTGGGTCATGTTGTAACTCCTTCCTCACTACTTTGCTATCAAAGTGATGTTCAGAACCCAAATTCAGTGCTACTTCCATAGTGTTCCGCCATCTCCCTCTCAGAATGAAACTTCCTCCTAGCACTCCCATTGTGTAGTGCCTCTGTACTGTGCTTACCTACCAGTTGGCCTCAAAGTGCAGCTATTCCCACATGGCTGTGCAGCTCATGCTGTGAATTGCTGGAGAGCAGGGACAGGCACTCTTGCTTTTGGTATAGCCAAGACATCGAGTACACTGCCCTGCATACAGCAGGAACTCGTTATGTGCTTTTGAATGGGTGGAGAGTGTTAATTTTACATGATCGAACTTACAAAATACATTGAATACTAAATGTCCACTTTAAAATGTTAAGTATTAAATGTTGGGCAAATAACACTTAAAGGTCTGTAGGGCAAATCAGTTTGCTACCCTGAAATCTACTTGTTTTGAATTCCAGAAGCTCCAGTATGTGGGATTTGAAATGAGGAAAATGAAACATTTTAGAAATTGTATACATAGGACTTTGAAAATAAACAGCATAATATGAACAAAAGTAAATGGCGTTAAAATTTACTTGATGTTTCACATTTCACATAGATGTTCTAATGATTAAAAATTTATTTTCAATGTTTCGCTTCCCTTGGTTTTCATTATTGCCTAGTTATGAGCTCATAAAAGGCCTATATGAATAAAACATTCTTACTCATGTTGAAAGCCTTCATTTGGAACCAGTGATGGACAAGAATGGTGGGATGTCTCCCACTCTCCAAGGCAGGCCCTGGGCCTGGAAATGCAGATCACCCTCTGGTGAGTGCTGGGGGCCACCAACGTTATTCCCCATTCTCAGAAGAGTTGTTCATGAACATACTCAGAATATTCTAGGCTTCTGGGCAGGTGGTGGCTGTCCCTCACAGTCACTAAGAGGAGACAAGGAATTGATTCCTATGTGAAACAATCCACCTGGCTTTGGGACTGATGGAAAGAATATAGGTATGTTGGCTGAAATGACAGGAGAGGATGTGACTAAAACCTGAGGGAAAGATGTACTCCTTATAGTGATTAACATAGTTTTATTATTTTTAAATGAAACAGATATTCAACAGCATTATTTTTAAATGAAACAATATTCAACAGCATTAACTGTATGAACTCCAATATATTTTTAACATTGTTTTTGACAGTATTACAGATGTCCCCCATATTTTATATATGTACTTGTATTCATAAAAATGACTCATGCTCTGTATGAAGAACTCAGGCCCAGGAGTTAACCAGGTGAGTGGTTCTCAAGCTCTGCTGCCTCTTAGATTCAAGGGCAGTGATGCCAAGGCCCCAGGGAGCAATGACATCAGTACCTCTGGGGGTGGGACCCTCGTATTATTTTTTAAAGCTCCCCGAGTTCAACTTGAGGACAAATGAACTGGGTCATGTTAGGTCGGAGGCTAAAACACGTTGTGCTATGGATTCGCTTGTGCCAGTGTAGCTGAGCGTTTGCCTAGTTAATGAACTCATACAAGGGAGAAGAGGTTGCCCTCTTGCTTTTCACTACTGACAAGTGAGTGGTAAAACTGTACAGGCGAGGTCACAGTGCTATCCCGAGAGCAGCAATGCCCTACAGTTAAGCTACAGCATTAGTAGAGAACCACACGTGCTTCATAGACTCATTCTTAGAACTCTGAATACAGACATCTAGGAACTATCCTAGATTAGCGAATCAAAATCACTTTTTAAAAAGTTCACCGTTTTGGTGCCGACCTTGGAGGGAGCTCTGTATAGGTGGGCCGCTATAGGTCTTTAGATGTATTCAGTTAAATCATAGGGAAGCAGATTTCAGCTTAAGACAGAAAAGTAACTCTGAAATTGCTTAGACTTACCCAGCAATGGAATGGTCTGTTTTAAGGCAATGAGCTCTGAGAAGTGTGGGAACAAGCTCTGTGAACCCTCTCAGTTAGAGGGGTGTCTTTTTGTTTGTTATTCCTCACCTGAGGATATTTTTCCACTGAATTTTAGAGAGAGTGGAAGGGAGGAAACATCGACGTGAGAAAGAACCCTTGACAGGAATTGAATCCAGGACCCTTCAGTGGGCGGGCTGTGTATTCATTGAGCCGAACCGGCCAGGGCAAGGGTGTCTTATCTGATGAGAGATTTTGGGAGACTGAACTTAGCATGTGAGGCCCAGTCCCTGGTGGATCTTCCCACCTAGAACGCTAACTGGTCTCAAAATGCAAAGGTGGGCTGGGTCCTGGCAAGGCAGAGGCCTGTCGTTCTCTCCGATCAGGCAGATTTATTAGGGAGCCTGACTGGAGACAAGTCAGCCCTGCTCTCTGTTTCAGCTTCAAGGACAATAAAGCTGATATTGTGATATCTTTCACATCTTATTTCTCAACTTCTTCCGAAGTGAAAAGGAGAATAACAGAGTTACCTGTTGGTGTCCTTAAATTCCATAAGCATCACAATAGAGCCATAACTTGTAATGGCCCATCTGGTGTTCTGAAAAAGCATTCCATTACTTTATTGGAGTCCATGAACTTTTATATTCCAAAGCACAAAGTACTTCTACAGTGCAAAAAAAACCCACAAAAACAAAGATTTGGCATAAAAATTTTTGGGAATTGTAACTGCTTAACTGTCTAGGAAACAGCAGCATTTTCCAAGTTTCTACTTTATTGAGAAACTTAGTCATGATCTGCAGAAGTTGGTCCTGGGCAATTTGAAGACAGGTCTTCTTTATCTGTAATTTACATGAAGAAAATAAAAGACTTGTAAGCTCTAGAAAATTATTTCAACATAACATGCAGTTTGTAGCTTTGTTTGCTCTTGATTGTTAAACCAGGAAAAGATACTAATAAAAAAAACCAATAACCGCCAAAACCGGTTTGGCTCACTGAATAGAGCATGGGCCTGCGGACTGAAAGGACCCAGGTTTGATTCCGGTCAAGGGCATGTACATTGGTTGCGGACACATCCCCAGTAGGGGGTGTGCAGAAGGCAGCTGGTCGATGTTTCTCTCTCATTGATGTGTCTATCTCTCTCCCTTCCTCTCTGTAAAAAATCAATAAAATATATTTTTTAAAAATTCCTCACTCTCAAGTTCAAAATCCTTAAATTCAAGTTAATAAAGCCAGCCTGGGCATATGTATTCGAAGGGAAAGCACGTGGCTCTGTAATACATATGACAAGTTTTAAACCATTTCTTTCTGAAATAATTTTTAAAAAGTGTCTGACTTTCATGGCTCAGAGACAAATATTCTATTTATATAATAATGAGTTCTAAAAAGTTAATATATCTTTCAAGTATCTATAACTTAAGAAGGATTAAAAATAAAGCATAAAAAAATTATCATCCTTAAGTGAATCAAATTTTTTCTTAGGTAAAAAACTAAAAAACTCCCTTCTGCACTGTTTTCAAAAAGTTAAAAACACCTTTTATAAGGCAATTATTTCTATGCTTATTACTTATTTAAGACATTGATTCTACATTACCTTTTGGATAGGATAAGAAATTTCCATTATCTATAGAAAATATGACTTTCATAAAAAAAAAAAAGAAAAAGTTGAAAATCAAAGAGCATTTGTATCCAATATTTTTTAAAAGTTTAAAGCATTTTCTTACCTTCATAGGCTGTTCCACACCAAATACAATACAGATGTTCTTCTCTTAAATAACTCGTCAATATCTGTAATTTGTCCAGTACCTAGAAATAGGACACAAGCACATTAATGGTTCACATTGACCAGGAACTTGGTTTTCTGGTCTCTTGGATCATGCTGACCTACCCCAAGGCTGTACATCTTCCACTACACTCTCTACCAGTTAGGAGAGGTGTGAAAGGCAGAATATTTTAGAATGTGTCCCAGTTTACCAGCTACCCTGATTATTTTCACAAGTTTTCAGACTGAATCGAGACTCATTGTTAACATTCAGAAACAGAATTTGGCTGGTTCTGTTAGGATAAGGGTCGTTTAAAGACCACATTTACTTTCAAAGAATCTACCTTCCCCCGTGGGGCGAGGGAGAACACTGTCTGCCTGTGCCATTCAAGTTCTCATCAGTGGTCTCCCATGTAAGTGGTACATAGGTTTTTCAAATTTTGAATGTTTCCTACAAAAGTCTTACGGACATGTAACCATGTGGTTATTTCTAGAATAATCTCCTCTTCCTTTGAATTGAGTTTTGCTTTGTCTTGTGTGTGGGTGGGGAAGAAGAATCGCTTCCACAAGTTTAACAGGAAACAAGGTAAAAATGGAAATAATTTACATTTGCAGCTAATCCATCAACCACACTAGAATAGAGGTGAGAGGGTGAACTGAAGCTAAAGGGAAAAATGATAAAGTTTTGATCTGGGGTTAATAAACCTATAAGGCAGTAGTTCTCAACTATGGGTGATTTCCCCTCAGATGACATGTCACAAGGGGGAGGTGCAACAGGCATCTCGCAATACACAGAACAGCACCCCAGAACAAACCACTACCGGGCTCAAAATGTCAACAGTGCCAATGCTGAGACACCCTGCTCAGGAAAATGGTCCCAAAACATACACTTAAATCTTCACTCTCATATTCATCTTCATCTTGTTTGTTTTCTTCCTCTTCCTCTTCTTCAGTCTCTTCTTCAAGCTTCAGCCAGTACCAGGCTTCTCTGGGAACCTGTATATTCTGAAAATGTAGAACCGTTCCCAATTAAACATAGCTAAACATGAGCCTATCACCAATATCTTCATGTCAACATGAACTCATCCTTTTTTAAAATATATATATATTTTATTGATTGTTTACAGAGAGGAAGAGAGAGGGATAGAGAGTTAGAAACATCGATGAGAGAGAATCATCGATCAGATGCCTCTTGCACACCCCCCACTGGGGATGTGCCTGCAACCAAGGCACATGCCCTTGACCGGAACCGAACCTGGGACCCCTCAGTCTGCAGACCGACACTCCATCCACTGAGCCAAACCCGTTTCGGCGAATTCATCCTTTTGATTAAAAATTTACTGGGTGCTGCTTCAAGCGTAAAGCACTGCACTGTAAATTCTGAGGAGGCAAAACCCAATTTAAAAAATATATGTATATACACATATATTTAAACCCTTATCCCAGGACATGCTTATTGAATTTTAGAGGGAGGGGGTGGGAGAGAGAGACAGAGGGGAAAACATCAATGTGAGAGAGAAACATCAATTGGTAGCCTTCCTGTACATGCCCTACATGCCCCCAATGGGAATTGAACCTGCAATCTCAGTGTGTGCCCTGACCAGAAATCAAATCTGCCGCCTTTTGTGTATGAGACAAACCTCTAACCAACTGACCTACCCAGCAAGGGCCCAATTAGAATACTGTATTGTCTCCAAGTTCAATCTACCGGTAGTAGGGAAAATAAGCTATGGGCATCAATAGCTTAATGGATATAAAATAATACATATAAGGATATCTATGTAATACCTTAATCAATAAAGAAAAATAAAAAAATAAAATAATAATAATAAAATAATAATAAATACCGTATATATAAGCTAGAAAATCTTAAGAGTCAAGACATACATTCAAAATAAAGTGCTAGGAACATATATAAAAATGAGATTGCTCCTAGCAATATATTTAAAGATAATTTTGAGACTTTAAAAACTATATTTTTAAAACTGATTTTGAGAGAGGGGGAGTTTTGTTGTTTCACTTATTTATGTACTCATAGGTTGATTCTTGTATGTGCCTTGACTGGGGATCGAACTCATAACTTTGGTGTATGGGGACAATGCTCTAAGCAACAGTTACTTGGCCAAGGCACAATTTTGAGACTTTTGTACCATCAAAATAAAATAAAAAGGCAAAATAAAATCAAAGATAGAAATCATTTAAATCTGAAATAGATAGTATTCTACCATGATATTACTAGTTAGAGACACATGAGGTACACAAGGTAGACCTAAAATAGGCTATTCTGGTTAGTCAGATATTCTGGTGAGTAGAATTTCCATACATAGTGGCTCTGAGTAACCAATATTAACATAAGCAGAAAACAACTAAATGTGAAAATGATATTTAACCCTTACTGGATAATTCAGACTACTCAGGTTCCTGATGTGAAAAGTCAGTATTTTGAATAGTACATGTTAAATGAAAACTTTAATCCAGTGAGTTTTAACTGGTGTGCCACAAGAATTTTTAAAAGATACAATTCTCGACTATTCAGTCAGGAACACCAAACTCTTTTTTCTTAGACTGTCAAATAAAAAAATGACAGCCATCTGATGTCCATAAATACATAAGTCATATAATAGAGTTGCATCTTATTTGGTCATGTCGCATAATAAGGCTGATTGGTTAATTCTTGGTACCAGAAATTCTTATATACAAGTATAGGCACCTGATTTTTTAAAAAGTCATTTAGGAACAAAATGGGTAGGTAATTACTATTATTATTTATTTGGTAAATCATTCAAAATTATATCTATTTTTTGTCAGATGGGTAAAACATATTTCTTGGTGTGTCACAGAATTATAGTAATTAGTTTACTAGATGTGCCATTAGGTGAAAAAGGTTGAAAATTGCTGCTTTGCTTCGTAGAAGATGAGGTATACCAGAATTGGAATGTTTGGTTTGGTTTGTTGTTTTTAAATATAAATTTATGGCAAATCACACTGGGTGCCAAAACACTTCACTACCAAACTGAAAGCAGGTAAAAGGCTTGCCTTCTGAGTATCCAATTGTTGACAGGCTCTTTGGCTTCTTCTAAGATCTCCTTCCAGCTTCATTTCATCTTGCTTGCTTTTAAGTCGCATTCTAATTAAGGGGGAAAAAATAGCACATTACAGGTCTGTACTTGCTTTATCCATTTTCTATGCTCAATTACTAAAAACTGCCTGGTCAATGGGCTCAGTGGTTGAGTGTCAACCTATGAACCAGGAGGTCACAGTTCGATTCCCAATCACACATGCCTAGATTGAGGGCTCTATCCCAGTGTGGGGTGTGAGGAGGCAGCTGATCAAAGATTCTCTTTTATCATTAACGTTTCTATCCCTCTCCCTTCTTCTCTGAAATCTATTAAAAACTAAATCACGCTGAGGCAAGATGAAACAAAAAACAGCTCAAATTCAAAGTTTTACCGGAACTGTTCTGCAGCATTTTCTTCAGCTTTGTTTTTCATGTGAATCTTTCTTCTGTAGCTTTCTAATTTTTCCTCTGCTTTCCGTTTTAATAAAGTCTCATGGCCAATGCCACTTTTCCCTGTTCAAAAAGACAACTCTGTGAGAAATTACATTTAAATTTATATTTCAAAATGTGACAATTTATATATTGTTATAACAAATTAAATGGAGATGTAACTTGAGTACAATCACTCAAAATCATTTGATAAGAATGGCAGGAGAAAACAGAGATTAAAAAAAACAACAACACCCTAAACACACAATTTGATTTTTTGCAAAGATCAATATTAATTTGATCTAATATGACAGTAATATTATACAATTTTTTAAAATTGGAGAACTCCAACTTTCATCTAAATATTATGAACAAATAAAACATATTTTTCAAATATAATTCGTTCAAAGTATTAAGAAAAACATTCATTTGTTTGTTTTTAAATTTTATTTTGCAAATACAGTTTACATTCAATATTATTTTGTATTAGTTTTAGGTGATCTGATATTTAAGGAAAACTTTTAATGGATACATCTGTTTCAGAATACTTTCAGAACATTTCAATTGATAAAAATACCTTTGCATTTTTAATGGTTACAACAATTTCCCCCCAGATTTTTTATTATATAAATTTTATACTCACTAAAAATTATTTTTATTTTAAAAGGTTTAGAAATTGAATTAAGAAACATTTTACTGAGGACTTCCTATGATAAAAATTGTAACAGACCCATCATAAAAAATACTTATTAAGCAAATAAATGTGCTAGATATAAGTGTAAGTTATTATTACTGGTAAATATCCCTAAAAATAATTACATACATACCTGTTTTGACATTGAGAGGAATTGGTTCAACAATACCATCTCCTTAAAAAAAAAAGAGAGAACAAAACACAAGCTACTTTAGAAATTCTTCCTCAAACTATCAACAAGCAGTTTGCAATTTTACATTGTCCCATAGAAATCCTCTCCTGTTTCAATGATATTCAAACTGCAATCTGAACATCAATACTGTAAATCAATGACCTCATTTTAAATACACAGTTCTCAATAAGGGTGACCCACAGCCTCCTGAGTCACTTAAAGATAGTGTTTTATGAAGTAAAAGACTTATATTAAACATCCAAGAGGGTGACAGTTTTTTTTTTAGATAAGATCAAACAATTACATAAAGGAGAGAAGAAAACAGCTTACAGAAGCTACTTTAAATATCTGGCTTTTATATCTTTCAAAAAATATATATTTTATTGATTTTTTACAGAGAGGAAGGGAGAGATATAATTAGAAACATCAATGAAAGAGAAACATCGATCAGCTGCCTTCTGCACACCCCCTACTGGGGATGTGCCTGCAACCAAGGTACATACATGCCCCTGCCTGAAATCGAACGTGGGACCCTTGAGTCCATAGACCTATGCTCTATCCATTGAGCCAAACCGGTGAGAGCTGCCCTCTATATCTTAATAAAGTCTCACTTCCTAAAAAGAGAAGTGAGAATGGAGTCTCTTAGACTTTGGCAGCTGCTCTACAGGTACAGGGCAGGCAGGGCAGAGTCCTGGCAGAGTCCCCAATGTCGTTTCCCTTCCCTCTGGCCATGGTTAGCTGTGTCTCCATTGTAAGCCTTGCCCGTCCCCAGCCTTAGTGACTTCAAGGCTGAGCTGGGCTGATAAGCAGCTCTTGGTGGCCCCTGGTCGTTTGAAGTGGATGTGGGAAGATGAAAGTTCTCCATAACACTTGTTAGCACACAAGAGACTAAGAAGCTTAAGTTGTTTGGATTTCTGTGTAGAGGAGTAAGATTCAACAGTCATCTCTGGTACTCATGGGTGAACCATCCCTGGGTGGTTAGGAACACTTTTTTTTATTTCTGGATGTGACTTACCACTCTTGCCAAGGGCCTGACCACTTTTATATCCCATCTTCTGGAGCAAAGCAAACCCTTTGTTGTCACAGCCTAGTGCATTCTTCAACCCACTGTCCCGTCTTTCTCGTTCTTCTTCCTTTACACTCTTCTGCCTGTTTTTCAAATTAGCTTCTTGTTGCTTTTCTTCTTTTCGACGGGCTTCTCGAACTTGCCTCAGCATCGGCAATCCTGGTCTGATATCTTCTCTGAGGAAAAAGGGAAAAGGCCGTGTTAGATGAGTATGTGAAGTTGTCTCAGGACTTTGATACTCACTCACCTGACACTACTTCATATTTCGGTGCTACCTCTCTGACCATCTTTCTTATCACAAATGTTAGCATGCAATCAGTGACCTCTGAGAATGGCTATTTTAATAAAAATGATGATGGTTTTTGCCAGATTATGGGAAACTAAAGAAAGTATGCAATTCAAAAAGTAGGTTTGGATTAATTTTTCTAAGTGGTTGGCAATAATAATGAGCCAAGTAGTTAGGAGAGACAGTAAGATGAAATAAAGGAAAGGGGCAAATTTCCTTAGGAAGAAGGGAATAAAAAGAATCAAAGGCAGAGTAAAATAGGTAATACTCAGAGGCTCCTTGAAGCACTGTATGGATATGTAGATGGTGTTCCAATAAAGCAATAAAACTAACTTTCCAACCTCACATTTGAAGTTAATGTCATTGCTTGAGAGTTTACATCAATGCCTTATACACAGCGTTCCATGAGGTGTACACATTGACTTACTGGACATTAATGAAGGAATCAGACATATAGTCCTCTTCTTCCTCCATGTTCAACTTCATATAACAGGAGTATCTGCAAATCAAACAGGATAGGATAACAGTTACTAATTTTTAAGAGTCTGATTCTGAGCTGGAGCCTGAGATTATGCATTTCTAACAGGTTCCCAGGCAACGTTCGTGCTTTCCTTTGGGAACCCAGCCCTTTGGCCTCCCTGTGGTTCTAGAGCAGTGGTTCTCAACCTTTCTAAGGCTGTGACCTTTTAATACAGTTATTCATGTTTTGGTCGCCTAAGACCATCGGAAAACACAGATATTTACATTATGATTCTTAACAGCAGCAAAATTACAGTTATGAAGTAGCAACGAAAATAATTTTATGGTTTGGGGTCACCACAACATGAGAAACTGTATTAAAGGGTTGTGGCATCAGAAAGGTTGAGAACTACTGTTCTAGACTATAGAATCTAGAGGAAGGTGACAATTTCTATACTCTCTTAGGCACAAGATGGCCAACTGTGGTGCTTTACGTCCCTGCAAAAGGAGAAGGGATGACTTAAACAAGGGCCAAGACGCCCCTCTTTCCTTACATGGAATGAATATGTGGACTGTGGGGAAAGAAACTCTTCATTAGGGTTTCTGAACTGGAAGTATGTGAAGTTGGGCTGCAGAGGGCCATCTTCTTGGCCATATTAAGAGATCCTGTTCTGCAGAATGAACCCAGACAGAGAGAACAGACAAAGATAGGCCTAAAAGCAACGAGGGTCCAACCCTAGTTTCCAAGACCCTGATTTCTTTGACTTTGTGACCTAGCATTCTTCCCAGCTACATAAGCTTATAAATTTCCTCACTGCTTAAACTTGTTTGAGTAGGAATTCTGTCAACTGCAACCAAGAGTCTGATCATTGGATGAAAAAATGTATTACTGTACTATAATAGTTTTTAATATTTTTAATGTCTATCTTGCCAATTAAGCTGTAAACCACAAGGACAAGTCCCCTATATGCCAATGCCTACACCACTGTGTCCCAAATATCATAAATTCTTAATGTTCAACAATGATGATTAAAAGGGTCTTTAATAATATTAGTAATTTTGTGGTAATAAATGCATTTTCCCTACAGTGTCATGTCTTATTTAAAAAAAAAAAAAAACTTGCCGAAACCGGTTTGGCTCACTGGTAGAGCGTCGGTCTGCGGACTGAAAGGTCCCAAGTTCGATTCCAGTCAGGAGCATGTATGTTGGTTGCGGGCACATCCCGGGTAGGAGGTGTGCAGGAGGCAGCTGGTTGATGTTTCTCTCTCATCGATGTTTCTAGCTCTCTCTCTCTCTCCCTTCCTCTCTGTAAAAAAATTAATAAAATATTTTTTTTTAAAAAAACTTGATGTAAATATATGATTAATACAGAAAGCCACATAATGTACAGGCTAATGAATTATCATGTACAAATTACAGAGATTTAATGATGATTAAATGCGCTAAAAAATGTGTGATATATTGGGTGTTAAAACATCATGTGTAAGGATACTATTCTTACACATAAATTATCCTTACATGATAATTCATTAGGCTGTACAGACAAATGAACAGCCTAATGAATTATCATGAGGCAAACACTCTTATAACCAGGTAGTAACCTCTAAGATGGCCCCCAATGATACTTGCTTCTTGGTTTTCAACATCTTTGATTGACCCGTGTCACCAAGCAGATATTATGGAAATGAAGGAGTCTGACAGCTTGGTCATAAATGACACTCAGCTCTTAGTTAGATCACTCTAACTCTTAAGTTAGATTACTCACTCGGAAGGAAGGCAGCTGTCCTGCAGTGAGGACACTCACACAGCTCTATGAAAAAGGTCCACACGGGAGGAACAGAGACTTCCTGTGGACAACAAATTTGAAAGCTACATGAGTGAGTTACTTTGGAAATGGATTCTCCAGTGCCATTCCAGCCTTCCAATGACTCAGCCTGGGCTGGCATCTCCACTGTAACTTCTTAAGGAAGTCCAAGCTAAGCTAAACTAGTAAGAAATTCCAGATCCACAGAAACTGTGATATAATAAATGATTATAGTTATTCAAGCTGATAAATGTTGGGATAATGTTTACAGTAGAGATAATGCAAACCATCATATCAGAAGCTAGACTCTCGCTGGCCACCTCAGGAGCCCTCTTTGTCCTCTAGTCACTCACACTCCTTCAATCACCTTTTCTTTATAGTCGCATCACCCATGTGTGCATCCTTAAACGTTACAGTTTAGTTTTGTCTATTTTTCTTTAAAAAAAAAATACTTTATTGATTTTTTACATAGAGGAAGGGAGAGGGATAGAGATAGAGAGCTAGAAACATTGATGAGAGAGAAACACCGATCAGCTGCCTCCTGAACACCTCCTACTGGGGATGTGCCCGCAACCAAGTTACATGCCCTTGACCGGAATCAAACCTGGGACCTTTCATTCTGCAGGCTTTGGACCTCTGCAGGTCCAAGCCACCCCCATCTCTTCAGGCAGAGATGGGGGTGGCTTGGACCACAGGGACAGCAGTGGAAGTGGGTGTATTTTGAAGGTAGCGCTAACAGGATTTTGCCAAAGGACTGGAAATGATGTCAAGGATTACCTCAAGGCTTTTGGGCTGAATACCTGGAGGAACTGGATTCCTATTTTTTGAGAGTAATTCTATGTAGCACTGTTGTTTTGTTTTGTTTTGTTTTGTTTTGTTTTGGCAGAGAGGGGGCAGGGAGGTGGCAGCAAGAGAGCTGCTTCAGACAAACCGAGAGCCCCACTCCACATCCTAGTGGGGAGATGGGACCAGTGGCTGGACTTAACCACAAAAGGTGTCCAGGCGATCATGCAGACAGAGATGGGGGGTGGCTTGGACCACAGTGACAGCAGTGGCAGTGGGTGCATTTTGAAGGCGGAGCTAACAGGATTTTGCCAAGGGATTGGAAATGATGTGAGGGATGACCTCCAAAGTACGCCTCGGTCTCAAACATTCCCTTCCGCGACCACTGATCCCCACCCACTCCGGTCCCTCCCGGCTGCAAGCCGCCCACACAGACGCGACCAGCGACCATAGGGGGAGGGAGCGTGCGTGGCGGTGCGATGGGCTAGCCACCACCAGCACACAGCTCACTGCCCTTCCCCACCCCATCCGGGGCTCCAGCGGGCGCCCTACCTGGCAGCGCCCCTCGCCCGGGGCCAGATCACGACATCGCCGGCGGCGCACGCCCATCCACCTGCGGGAGGAGCTCGGGGCCCTGCGCGCGCACCTGCGTTTCCGGGTGCGGAACCCGTGGGAAAGCTGCGGTGGGCGGGGTCACGCGGGCGCGGGTGAGTGCGCACGCGCAAGGCCAACCTTCTGCGCACGCGCTCTCTCCTCGCTTCCTGCTGGTAGGACCGCGGGGGGCGGGGCATCCGGGTCCCTCGGCGGCTGCCTCTAACCGCGGAGCCCAGCCGACCGGCCCCGGCTTAGCCTGGGAGGTGAGGCCGCCCCGTCCGCCGCTAAAGCAAGCACGTTGACGCGCACACACGCCCCCGAGCAAACCCAGAGGGGTGGGTGGGGGGTTCGAGGCCGGCAGGTCCGCGCCGCCCGGGGTGGACAGCCCGAGTGGCCCCCTCGGCCCGCGGCGGCCTCTGCTGGTCCCCAGCCCGGCGCTGCGCTGAGGACCCGGAGGCGCTGCCTCTGCCCGGGGATGGCTCTGCAGCTTCGGCCTCGGGGACCTGGCCTCCCGCCCCGTTCCCGCGGGAGGAAGACGCCGGGAGGGAAGGGGCCCTCTTGCTGGAGCGATTGGTTAGGCTCCTGGGCCGGGTGCAGCGGGGAGCGGGGAGGGTGCGGTGCAGCCGGCGGTGGACAAGCAACACCCAGGCTGTCAGCCTGGCAGGTGCTTTTCCGTTTCCCGGTTCATGGAATGGGTTAATTTTTGTTTTGTTTGTTTGTTTTGTTTGTTTTAATGTTGTTTTTATATTAATTTTTTCCCTTTTTTGAATATGTTTTATTGATTTTAAAAATATATATATTTTATTGATTTTGTACAGAGAGGAAGGGAGAGGGAGAGAGAGTTAGAAACATCGATGAGAGAGAGACATCGATCAGTGCCTCGTGCACACCCCCCACCGGGGATGTGCCCCTCAACCAAGGCACATGGCCTTGACTGGAATCGAACCCGGGACCCTTCAGTCCGCAGGCCAATGCTCTATCCACTGAGCCAAACCGGTTTCGGCTGAACTGGGTTTTTTTTGAAGGCATTTATTTTTTTCTGGAAAAATGCCTCCTTTGCAACTATTTCAGTTATTTTACCCAATTTAACCTCTCCCTTCCCCCACACACGAACTAATCATTACCTTTTTTTTTTTTTTTTTGTACCCTTGTCCTTTAAAATTTAGTTCTCAGGTTTTGCCTCGAAGACATTATGTAAGTTTCCTTGAAAAGAAATGAGACGGAAAGTCCGACTTGTCATGTCTTAGAGGTCACAATCACAAAGCTGGGCTTCTAACAAGTCCTTTTTAATTTGTTACCTTCAGGTGTGAATTGGAAACTTCAGTTATGGAGTTAGCCCACAGTTTACTGCTAAACGAGGAAGCTTTGGCTCAAATCACGGAAGCAAAGAGGCCAGTTTTTATCTTCGAATGGTTGCGATTTCTTGATAAAGTCTTGGTTGCTGCCAACAAGGTATGATATTGCTACCCCCCACCCCACCCCCGGCTCTCAGTTGAGTTAACATAGTAATCGAGAATGTTATGTGTTCATGATCTGTGAGAAGACATGTTTTACAAGGTTGTAGGTCTCATGGGACTTGAGACTATGAACCCTGTCACAGAGATTTAGCCTCTGTGCTTTTTTCTATTCTGTGGCAAACCCCACACCTCCTTTAGACCCACCTTCTTGCCCAGGTCATGTCTCCACCTGGACAGCTGAACGGGACTGAGAAGCACATGCCAGTGTGACTGGTGTCACTCTGACGCCATTGTCTCTAACGTCAGGGGGTCCCTCCTAGCTGTCGAGCATCTTCATTTATATCTCTGAGGCGTTCACAATAGACTTTCCCGTTGTGTCCTTCGTCCTGCACAGTCTGTTTCATTCTCTGCATGCTGCTTTTCTGGCTTGAAAATTAGATGCTTTGCTTGACATCCGATGATCTTTGGATGCCTGCTCAAATTTGAGAGGGAGTCGTGAAAAGTTTTCTGGGCAGGGGGATGTTTGTTCACTGTATGTCTGTCACCGGTGGACTAGTCCAGTTCTTTGAGAAACCCTTGATGTTAGTAGCATAGGTTTCTCTTGGCTAGTCCTTCCCCAGAAGAGACGTTCCTACTCTCGTGCTACAGGGTGTATGTAAATTCTTGAGTTCACTTTTGCCTAGAATATTCATGCTTAAAATAGCGCAAGGCATGTAATAAGCACATAATACATATTGAATGAATGAATGAATGAATGGATTTTTAGTTTTGAGTATGGGTAGATCTGAATGTTTTTTCTGTTGCTGAAGGCTCCTTCAATGTACCTAGTTTCTTTTGATTTCCTTCACTGACCTATAACTTTTTGGACTACTGAGTTTACTTTAAAAAGGAGCTTATCTGGGTTCTAAAACATCAGTTGTCCGTATACCCAGTATTATACATCCTGGGACTATTGAGTTATTTTTTTAGTAAGTTGGCATGGAAACTTTTGGAGGGGAACGAAGAAAACTGTTTAATCTAGTAAAGAATGATTAATTTCCCACTGAACGCCTTATCTTGAAAATTCTCATTCATTTTTTTATGCCTAATGTAACATATCTTTTAATTATTAGAATGCCCTAACTCTTAAGTATTTTTTTTTATTTTTATTCAAAGGCAACAAAAGTACATAGTAAAACAACTGTTGATGTTTATTTATTTATTTATTTATTTATTTATGTATTTATTTTTTAACAGACTGATGTTAAGGAAAAACAGAAAAAACTTGTTGAACAATTAACCGGATTAATAAGTAGTTCACCTGGACCACCTACACGAAAATTGTTAGCTAAAAATCTCGCAGCCCTCTATAGCATTGGGGACACTTTCACTGTTTTTCAAACACTTGAAAAATGTAATGAAATTATCAGAAGTAAAGATGACACTGCAGCCTATTTACCAACAAAACTGTAAGTATTTACTTCGAGAATGGCCCTTGCATGTTTTTAGGGTGTTTTTTTCCCCAGAGTTACTTGTCTTAATAAAAGGCCGCTGATTATAAAGACCTCCAGATAGATGGAGCCGAGGCATGCTGCTGACATTAAAGCTCCCTCAGTAGGTCCGGGGAAGGGGTCTATTTCAGCATTTTGCCATTGCCACCTGGACTTTAGCAAACGACAGAGGATTGATAAAATGTCAGCAGTTTGCAGAGGGGTCTTTTGGTAAGTTTGGATGGAGATGATATTCTTGGCTGGGGTGGAAAGAAACATAAGGAATTTCTAGGTGATGGGATTGAGACAGGAATCGGCCAACTATAGCCACAAGCCAAATCCAGCCTGATGCCCGTTTCGTTGGGATGCAGACATGTCTACGTGTTGAGGAGTAGCTGCTTTCATGCTGTGATGACAGAGTTGAGTCCCTGTGACAGAGACCATTTTGCTTGCAAGCTTTCTGACCCCTAGATTAAGAATGTAATCCAATTCCTAGCCCATTCTGTGGTTTGGATCCAGCGCAGGTATTTTTGGAGCAGGTCTTGAAGATAATGAGTATTGGGACCCATGCTGTGAAAGTTAAATTGGAAGCATAACAGTTATGGTACCATGAGGAGTGCCGTGGGGAGGGAAATTACACCTAAATAAACTTAGCTGTGGTGTGCAGGAGGGGCAGTGTCAAAGAAGGCTTCTCAAAGAGGCATCAGCTAAAGAGCAATCATCCAGGAAGGAACATGGAAATTAGTCAAGTAAGAGGTTAAGATGAGAAGAAGAAAAGATGGATGTGATTGGCCAGGGATAGGCAAATTTTATGAAAAGGGCCAGATGATAAATATTTTTGTCTCTGTGGACAACGACTCACCTCTGCCACAGACAGTATATAAATAAATCAGTGTGGCTGTGTTCTTATAAAACTATCAGAGGCCTGGTGCACAGAATTCTCGCACTGTGGGAGGTGTCCCTCAGCCTGGCCTGTGCCCTCTCACAGGAACCCACTGGGGGATGTCCGGGACCCCTCGCTCCTTATTGCCTGACTGCTCACTGCTCCTTGGTGCAGAGGCTCCCCCACCGCCACTGCACTCGCCAGCTGTGAGCCTGGCTTCTGGCTGAGCAGTGCTCCCCCCCCCCCCGCCCCCGGGAGTGCACTGACCAAGGGGGGCAGCTCCTGCGTAGAGCACCTGCCCCTTGGTGGTCATTGCGCATCATAGTGACCAGTTGTTCCACAATTTGGTAAATTTGCATATTACGGCTTTTATATATAGGAGGATTTAGAGAGAGATTATATATAGGAGGATTTAAAAAGCAAATGGCAAGCTGGTTGATGGGTAAGATTTGGCCTGCAGGCTGTAGTTTGTCAACCTGTTTTCTAGGCAAAGGAAACTAATAATTGGAAACAGAAATGGCTTATTTACACCTTATTTACAGTGCTTTTTCAGAGAGATACTAAGAGAGGAAACAGGTTGTGAGGGGAAGATGATGTATGCTGATTTTGAAGTATAAATGGGACTAGCCAATTGGCAGCGTGTAATTGGCAGGTGGAAATCCTGGTCCGGACTTTAGAGATCTGAGTTGAGAAGGTAGTTTTGGTGAGTGGAGAATGGAGTTTTATGAGTAGGCTGAACCCTTTGGTAGGGATAAAGTTACCTAGGAAGAGTGAGGAGAGAAGGTGCCACGAATACAACTCTAGAACACCAACGTTCAGGATGACAGAGCCAGCATAATGGCTTACAGAGGAAATTAATCTGAACACTGATTCTTTGGTCCGCTGGTTAAATTTTGTGTCGGGACAGGTATAGATCTCAAAAGCTTTAGAAGGGATTAGGGAGCGTTGGTACTCTCCACTTTGTTTTGGAGTTTGAAGCTATGTTAATGATTTTGAAGATTTAGTTCTCCGCCACACACGATTTTATAGTTCAGCGTAAGTAGAATTTATTACATATTACATATTATTTATGTGTAATTCCAGTGGACTCATGGTTTCTGTTTAGGAATTTCCCAGTATATTCTGGTACGTGACCTCAGTCATCTTTAACGTTATCAGCCTGGAGAGTATTGAAAAAAGCATGGGATTTGGAGTCAAAGAGGTGAAGGTCGATTCCCTGATTTTACTGTTTACTACACATATGACAGTGAGCTAAATGTATTAGCTCTTTCTCAGACTCAGAGTAACTTGCTCAAGACACAGAGTTATTAGGTGGCAGGTTCTAGGATTTAGGCACACATATGCCAGACTCCCACATATATGCTCTTCATTTCTACCTGGTCTCTAAG